TTATTACCCTTTAAATTGATTTCTGAAGTGCAGTGGTTCCCAAACTTTTCAGCTTTTGACCCACAAAATAACAGTAGCAGAGACCTGAGCCCCCAACTGTTTTTGGATGATAAACATTTGTATCAGGTCAACTAAACATAGACATAGTAACAATATTTATTATTCTACATTCAAGGCAACTAAGGCAAAAATATAATTAATTTAGAAAATCTTTTCAGGACCCCACCTTGATGTTTCAGGATCCCACTTTGGGTCCCGACCCCAACTTTGGGGACCACTGCTGTACAGCACAATATGAAACAGCTAAAGTTGACAAATTTATATTCCAGTTAAATCAGACAATAATAAAAAAAACATGAGAATCAAATGAAAACTTTCATTAATGCTTGAATTCAAAGTTTAAGGAAAAAGACAAGTCGTAACCTTTCTCTTTCTCTCATTTTCCTCTGAAAACGTGTTTTAGAAGTAATTAAACCTTTATATTCAGCTGACATTAAAGTGATAATTTCATGTTGTCTTGTGTGGATTTATGTTTTTACTTGTTGTGACCTCCTCTCCATCACATGAAGTGATCTGATGATCTAAAGTTTGTTTGTTTCCCAAACTGTTTCGTGTCTTCATCCTTTAAAGGATTTCTAATTAAATTAGAACAAACAGATGGTTGTGAAGCTGCTCTTTTATCCAAATAAACTCAGTCTGCATGTGAGAACGGTTTAATTTCTTTGGTTTGTGGAATGAATCACATGGTGCTGGCTTGTTTCTGTACATTTTGCTCTCAGAGTAGCATGTTTTCCTGGGTTCATCTCATCCTCTCCAATTCACAGAGAGGATGTTCTGTCAGCTTCTCCTGATCTTTGTTTGATTGTTCCTCTCTGGTTCAGTCGGATCACCAAAAAGCTGACAGAAACAAATGTGGCGAGCTGTAGCTTAATAAAACCAAAGCTTTGGGCGCTGGTCCAAGTCATTATTGACTGAGTACCACAACTTCTTTTATCAGCTGCTTCATCTGTCTTGATCCACCAGGAAAACTCACACAAGAGGAGGGAACACACGCATCTTGTAGAGGTGCTGGGAATTCATTTAAGTCTGACACGTCTAAAAAATTCATGTGGGTGAAATAAGAATCAGGACGTTTGTTTGTGTTGAGAGTTTACCTCAAATCCTTTACTCAGAACCAGAACCTCAGTGTGAAACCTGTGAGGATATACTGCCACCTTCTGGTACAAAGATCACCTCTACAGTCACATACTGAATCTCATAATAATAATAATAATAATAATAATAATAATAATAATAAT